CTGCTCGGCGGGGAGTCTGCTTCTCCCTCTGACCCTCCCCCTTCTCATGCTCTCTCTCAAATAAATAAATAAAATCTTAAAAAAAAAAAAAAAAAAGACCAGAGAGGAAAGTCAACTTTCATGAACCAGAAGCTGACTGCTGGAACATTTTCTCTTTGTCCCCGCTTCCCTGCTCCCTGGCCCTAATCTATTAAGAGGCTTCAAAGGACCTGTAACCCCACACTGTAAGAAATCCTTCCAGAACAGAACATGAAAGATTAAAAAAGTTAATTAGATCTTAGCCCCAAGCCAAGCCAATTAAATCTTTCTCTCTGGTGGAGGCCCTGGTCCTGATATTTTTTTTTTTTTTTCTTAAGATTTTTATTTATTTGACAGAGAGAGAGGGAACACAAGCGGGGGGAGCGGGAGAGGGAGAAGCAGGCCTCCCACAGAGCAGGGAGCCCAATGTGGGGCTCGATCCCAGGACCCTGGGATCACGACCTGGGCCGAAGGCAGACGCCCAACGACTGAGCCACCCAGGCGCCCCTTTTGGTCCTGATATTTTTAAAAGCTCCCAGATGATTCTGATTTGTAGCCAGCACTGCACTCTGACTCCCTTGCCTCTGATGGGCTCTATACTCTGCTCTGGGCCTTCCCCCTCTTGAAGACTGCATCTACCGCTCTGTGTGCTAAGATTCTAAGTGTGCAGAGATAGAACAGACTGCTGCCAGGAAAGCAACTCGGTATTTTTTTTTTTTCAGATAAAACAAACATTTAGGCACACTCTGGTTTATAAAAAGGTGTCCCTCAAGACTTTACTGTAATGGGTAAAAACTGGAAATAACCTAAATGTCCAACAACAGAGAAGTAGTTACATTAGGGTGTAAGCCAGAGGACACAAGGGTAGACAGGCTTAAAAACAAGGACTTGCCAATGATTTGAGATAATAAGCATAACAAAAGACCACGTGGAAAAAAGGTCATGATTTAAAAAATCAGCTACATGTTAAGATCCTGATTTTGTTAAAAGATATGTATTTAAAAAAATTAAGGGGCGCCTGGGTGGCTCAGCCAGTTAAGTGTCTGGCTCTTGATTTTGGCTCAGGTCATGATCTCGGGGTCGTGGGATTCAGCCCCGTGTTGGGCTCTGCGCTGAGCGTGGAATCTGTTTGGGATTCTCTCTCCCTCTGGATC